TACATCCTCGCACAAGATTAGAAGTTCATCGGAAATAAAGTTAAATTGTATCAAATTAAACTAAGATATCTTTACAAAATTCTTAAGTTTTAAATAATAAAATAGTTGCACTAGTATCCTTATTGCACTAGTATCGCGGATCAAGCCAAAGAAATATATCACTGGGCTTCAGAATGTAAATACGGACATTATGCAATTCTCTAATCTTATAATTGTTAGAACTCCCAGAAGCTCGATAGTGGGAGTGTAATTCTTTTAACTGGTACTAATCGGGACTTAGCTAAAATAAAATTGGTAATCCAGCTTGCTCTGAATCTAGTTTTGAAGTAAGCTACTTCTCCGTCTGCTTTTAAACTAGCATCGGCAAATATGCGCACTTATTTTTCCTTAGATGTAAAATCTTCACAGTAGGTTCTCTTTAATGGCAAAATCTTGCAGGCGGTTGATTTCTATACATGACTCTTTCCACTACGACTGCAGTTCATTAGTCAAAGGTTCATCCCAACCAATTCTTCTTTTCGAAAATGATTGCATTCAAAGTTCACAGTCATTCTGATCGTAAAAGACACAGTCATACCAAAAAGATTAAAACCCTTGCCACAAGTACTTAACATGGTACATTTTGTAACTTATACTTCGCCAAAGTTCTCGATCTCCCTTAAAACGCTAGAGGAATCAATTTTGAGGACACCTTCTGCTTTATTCCACACGAGTCCCAGGTCCTTCAATAGCATATTGTTGAAGTTACACGCCATCTGACAGATAATTTTTATTAGGTATTTTCCTTTGCCTATTTGTTTCATCAAAATGCATTCGCAAATTTGCCTAACTTCATACTGGCTTCCACCATTATTTCTCCCTCATCCGAATACGTAACAAGCTTCATATTTCTTTCCTGTGCATTTCTTTAAATGTAATCTAATAGTTGCAGAAAGGAGAAATACACACGCCCCAAATGGAACTCTTGCACGTGCAAATAATTTGAAGTTATGTTCTTGGTAATCTACTTTATTGTTACTGAACCACAGGGATCTGAGGAAATTTCGGTGCACTAATTCCAACATTCAGAAAGGCTTTCTCAATATCTGCTAAAAATCCAATCTTCAACCGGCAGAAATAGGGTATTATCTAAACCAAATCTTTAAAAGGCAGTCTTTTATCTTTGAGGATGCATCACAGACAATACATAATTTAGTGGTGGATTTTTCTTCTCTAAGACCTGCATAACGCGAAAGGTAATAATTGAAATTACCCAGTACCTGAAATTGGCGTTCTTCAGTAATCTTCGCTTGGCTCCTCCCGTAAAACTTCTTCATAGTCCTAGAATAATTCTACATTATTTCTTTATTTATTCCCCAACTTAATGAGTCTAGACTCGAAGTGACCTCACAATTATTACTTTGGTGATTTTTTACAGAAGCTTTGTTCCATGTCTTTCATCTTTATACACCAAATTACTCTCGACTAAATGCATAATATCCTCGTTGCATTGCTTGCTTTCTTCTTCAGAATTAATTTCTATCGCTTCTAACTCCCATACAGCTTTTTAATAGCTCAGAAATACTGTAGATTTTTTAGGTTTTTTCCGAAGCAGAAGATGTAAAAAATGTGCAATGCCCTCCCCGGGATTCTAACCTGAACTTCTGAAATACGCACCGAGTGTGCTACCGTTATATAATGAAGGAATGTTGAAATGAGGAAGAAAATACCTTATAATGCATTCTTGTTTAATTTTTACATTACTTACACATACCGTTGAAAAGCTTGGCTCAAAAAATGTTTTTCCCTGAACTACGAATTCGAAAATGCCAGCAGTAGCTGTTAATCCAGTGCTTACTCTTATTTATTTAACATATAAAATCTCACACGTATAATCGGGTCCTATTAAAACATCAGTATCTTTATGTGTTCCGATATCTGACAATTCAAATCTTTTGGCGAGCTTTACTCCTTGCTGACATCTAGGGTCATATAAAATTCTCACTAAGTCTTGTTTCCTTTCTGGTTTTGAAATAGCTCTATTAGTTAATAATAAAAGATTTTCCTTTCATGAATAATTTAAATTAGAAACGTAAGTCTCCTTCTCAGATTCGGATGTGGCGTCATTCTTCTTAACTACTCTATCGCAAATTAAATAACTATATGGTTGGTTGCATACGTTACACATGTCTTAGGGCCATTGTTTGGTTTCAGGCAATGAAAACGTAATCTTTGCTGTTTTCTTCTCTCTTTCTACCAGAAATGGCCATTGAGCAATTTGCTGCGTCTTGTGTTTTAACTGTATAAAAAATGCAGCCTTCTTGCTGTGAAATGGTTAATGCAGCTGCATTTTCCATATTCCGTTTAGAAGCGTAATTTGATTTCACGTTTTCTCCTTAGATTCCGCTATTAACGTTTCTATAATTAGAATGAATTAACAAGCTTAATGCTTTCCTGCGTTCTACTTCGTTAACACTAAAAGTTCACTTATGATACATTCTGAAGTTAACTCGACTTTTCTACATGTTTTGCATCCTAAGTTCACTTATTCAGGCAATTTGTACAAAATCAAAGGACAACATATTCCCTTACGCACCTGCGCTGATGTTAAGACTTATTAAACTTTTTATCTGTGCTTAATCCTCGTTGTGCTTCAAAAAAAGAACCCCAATGGGTTCTATAGTATTTCTGAGCGATTAAAAAGCTGCGAAGTTAGAAGTGATAAAAATCAAATCTGAAAAGGAAAGTAAACAATGCAATGAGAATATTATGCATTTATTCGAAAGTAATTTGGTGTATAAAAATAAAAGATATGAAGCAAAGCTTCTACGAAAAAAAGATCATCAAAATCTAATGTGAGGTCGCTTCGAATTCAGAGTTATTAACCTGGAGAATAAATTAAGAAATATTCTAATGTGAGGTCGCTTCGAAATCAGAGTTATGAACCCGGAAAATAAATTAAGAAATAATCTAGAATTATTCTAGCACTATGAAGAAGTGTTATGGGAGCAGCTAAACGAAGGTTATTGAAGAATGCCAGTTTCGGGTACTGGGTAAAGTCTTTCTTAATGTTTTAAGCTAGTGGAGTTTCTTACAGGGTCGATAACTAACTGTTAATTTATGTTTATCATACGAGAACTTATGAGAAAGTCAGTTCGACCAAATCGCTCTTTAAACAATGTTATGGAACAGTCATATTTCTCACTACTTAAAAAAATAAAATCCTCAAACCGCAGTAAGAACATTTCCTAAAAAATAACTTTTTAGGCAGATGAATTTTTCAGCCTTTGTCACTGTTTCATTATAATGTTTTGCTACTTTGAAACTATTCCAAAAAGCTAGTCAGGTTCTGTGTGTCCAATAAAATTCCAGTACTTCTGATTTGGAAAATTTGACAGTAATAAATCTGTCAAAAATTTTATTCTGCTAAATATTAAGATTCTGATTAGTACTAGAATACATATTTATGGATTCTACTCTACCTAGCCATTCAAAGGCTTCTTCTCGATAATATTCGCTGCGAATTATTTCCTGTTCTAATTCATTTAAATCTATATGATTCTCAATTTCATTACCTAAATCTGTTAGTGAATTAATCTTTTAACTCTTTAGAGAGATCACATAAGTCCTTAGTTTTTACACTTTTAGTTATCTGTTAACGGCTCATTTAAAGTCACTTCTGTTTTCGTAATTCACTTAGTTTTTAACTGCCTAACAACTACCTATTTCTGCTTTATTTGTTGCACAGCAACAGGCTCTTCACTCTATTTTGTCTTTTTTCCTTCAGCAATTAAACAGTTCAATCAAGCGAACTAAAAAAAGTATCGGACTAATTTTAATTCAATGCTTACTACTTGTAAAGGGAGTAATGAGTTGGCTACTCAGTCACTTTTCAGTCTTCATTGCTAACACGTCCCCAATTCTCTGTGTTAATTTCATGTTATCTGACTCCAAATAACCGAATCCTAGCTAAACAACTAATCCTTTTTATTCCAGATGAATAGTTTTCTTCTTCTGCAAAGGAGTCGCCTACTTGGCGACGGAAATAAAGGCAATAGGATGAAAAACGCTTTAGTCACTTAGCAGCTGACATCACAGTAGCTCCCTCAGCAGATAGAACCCATAGTGCAAAATCATTATTTAATTTTAAAGTAAGTATCATACGCATTGTACCTGCTCGCACTGTGCCAAGCAGATAATGCTATTTACACAATTTCTGTTATGACGCATTTTAAAAGAACTCCAAACTGTCATTAATTCATTTTACATGAAATACTTGTTATTCAATTTTGATGCAAAATATATCGCTATTTAACTGGATATTCTAAATTTTATATTCTTTGTCTCATTTAATTTTTTCTTACATTTTTATACTAAGAAAATCGCGCGTAGTGAAGCAGTGCTTTTAGATATTTATCTAATTTTAAGTACGATGAAAATAAAATTAACAATCAATGTACATAGTATTTGCGCAAATAAACTTAGTAATATAATATAAACGACAAAATTAAACAAAATGAATTATTAACATCAGCTAATTAAACATGGCTTGAATCTTTATATAAAAATCTACAAAGTATTCAGTAAAATAAGAAAACGTAGGTAAGAAGAAATTCAATAAAACAAAGATCAATAAAACGTAAAAAGAAAAAAAATCTAATTTAAATTTAATATGAAGAATTTTTCTGAAAATCATTAGAAATACGGAATAGAATTTGCTTAATTTAAGTTTCATTAATTCAATTAAATTTCATTTATTGCTGGGATTCATTTTCCTTAGGGAAAGATAAACATTAAAAACCGGGAAATTCGGTGATCTATCTAGAGACTGGGAGGAAGTGATGAAAAACCAGGAGAATTGGCAGTTTTGATACACTATTTCTCTCAATGTGAAAATACAAATATAGGAAATTATTCATTAAAACACCACTCTTATTTCCATATATATGATAACATAAAGTTATTTCCTGCTTCTTCAGTTTCTTCGACGTTATATTAATTTAACACTTTTCCATACTTACGAAGGATACAAATAGTTAATCTCTATAGCTTCTATCACAGTTCCGAAGTCAGCAATAAGACCTTGTTTGATAGCTGCCGGTTTCAAAGCGTAATTAACTGCAGCAAGGCCGCTTTTTGGTTTCCCAAGGGCTAATTTAGACGTGATAAGAATATGCTGGACTTGCTTCCTTTTCATTAGATTGACACTGAAAATTTGGACAAATGCATTTTAAATACTTTTCTACGAAACGAAAAGCAAAAGACAAAAAGAAAAAGGAGATATATATTATTTTGAAAGCAAATCAATTTAAATATAATTACATTTATCGATATAAAGCATTTTCATATTTTCGTGCTGACAAATCAATGCGTTAAATGTTATTATTTGAATATACGATAAATATATAATTCGAAAGACAACGGAAATTTAAGGATTATTATCGTAACATAAATAAAGTCTGCACCCAAGTACAGTTTGGTTTAGCGTCTCCCTGGAGTTTGGAAGTTTACCTGAGATGAATTTACCGAGCACTTCATACAACGCGGGGCCCACCAGCGGCCGAGCGGTAAAGACGCTGAACACTGGTAGTTCGGTCCGAGGTTCGAATCCCGCGAACGGGCTGGCTGCATGGACGTTTTCGTGGTTTTCCCCATGTGTAACGTGTATACGAGCCAGTTTCCCTTAGAAAGTCCTCCACGAAAGGCATCCCTCCCCTTAGGCAGATAGCCCTAGTGTGCTTTGCCATAATTAAATACACCAACACCATACAACGCGCAAGGTTATTACACCCAGCTTGTCCGTGACATAATATTGCATCTGAAATATATCATCGGGATTTTGCGCGGAAGAGATTTGCGAATCTTGATATTAATGGATGATAGGAATTTCTCATGGTAGATTTTCTATCTGAGATCAGTACATTGCATTTCTGTGAGAACAACCAGAAGTTTAATTGCTTCGGTACTGAACTTCCTTATAAACCGCTTGATTTTAACGACGGGTAGCCCTTGTCACTAAGTTCTTGCATTATGTTTTCAGATCCATCGTCAGCAGAGAGACCGTGTATGGCAATCTTCAGGGCTGTATGGGCTTTAGCTCTGAAAGTAGGGAACTGTACTTCAGCTTTCATGAGTGCGATCATCGTTCTGTCTCGCATATTGCTATAGTGAAATTTCAAACGTATCTTGTCTCTTTTTATAGTACCAAAATAGCCCTTAATGTGGTTTTCTTAATTCATCATAGTTTTCCTCCAGGCAGCTGAAGCAGAATTTTTCAAAATAGTGTTCGATGAATTTTCACGTGAATCTGCACTGGTAAGCCATCTGTAGAGTCATACTTTTTCTTTTTCTCCATCATTCCTAGTATAGAATTCGATGCTTCATTACTTTCTTTGCATGAATTGTCTTTTCAGGAATTACCTTCTTCATAGTCAGGTTTTCCTATAGTCTCTCAAACAAATGCATTAGTGAGAAGATTAAGCGGGCATTCTTCGTTTGCAGCAACCAGCTTGACCTGCGAACTCTTTTTTTTTCCGACGAACAGGTCTCGGAGTCCTTAATCCGTTTGAGAGGAAATCCATCTCTATGTGCTGGTGTAATGGTGTATATTAATTTTATAACAGTTATTTTAACTTTGAAATCCTTTCCTTTAAATTCTTGTTTCCCACTTACAACTCCCTGCCAGAATGAGTTTTTAGAATATCTCAGCATGCAAATGAGTTAGGAGTAGTATTTATTGGAAGTTCAACTAACTTCGATAGAGAGTGCTAGGAATCCCTAATGGCGCCTGTTTGCCTTCTGGCTAATTCATTATTGAAGCTTTTACACTCGGCCGTATTATAGGCGCCTATTAATATTTGGCGACTAGTTTAATTTAAGGGTCAACTACCTTAAATAATTGTCTCTAGCTTCGGTTAAGTCTAGTTTAAACGTCTTAGTTATCTGAACTCAGTGATAAGACGCTACGTAGTTCATTAGGGTTTTCGTCGTTTTATCAAAGGGAGAGGAACATCACAAAGTATAATTCAAAGTCATCTGGATCGAGTTTAGTTCGCTTCAGCTTCGTACAGGTAAGTTCAACATCTATCGAGAAGTGAGCATCAAGCGCCAATAATATAGACATCTTAAAGGAAGTAAGGTCTGAGAATCGAGAGAGATCAGAAACTGCCACGTCAAGTATATAATATGTCGAAATATTTTTTTTTCAGAATTAATAAATCATATATCATTTACAACTTCAGTTAAATCTTCAAAACAACAACCATTATCAATTCTGCAATTCTTTGTTTAAATTTCAGCATTTTATGGTAATTCATGCAAATTTGATTCATGCAAATGAAAATTTATGGCATATTATACTGCTAGACAATTTATTCTTCAAGATGAACAATACTATAGCCCACAGAAACCCTAAAATAAAAGAAAGCAAAGTATGGAAAATTAGAATAAATGCGATATACAGTAAGAAGAAGTATAGTTAAACAAATTTTCATTTCCTCGCCTCTTTACCCCATGAAAGAATGATAAAAATATTTGAAGACTTTGAAAGCGTGCGGACAGTTTTTGTACTAAATTAAAGTTTTAAGGGAATGATTCAATTGAGATCTTGAAACTTTCGGTACGTCTTCTTGACAAAACTTAGATGATTTTGCACGTAGCACTATCACTGGAAACGTCTAAGGCAAAATTTACAGATGTTGCTAAGGATTTCAGTATTATCCACAGAGGTTTTCTCGTCTGTAAAAAGCATTTTAAACAACGGGAATGTATAGCAAGCGTCACGCTAGAGGTTGTTTTAATCGCCTTCAAAAGACAGGTACCTTATCGCCAATAAGAAACGGATGCATCAGAGCTCAGCAGGTGGCTAGTAAATTTCTTGCTGCCACAGGGTAGTGGATCTCTTAAAAGCCTGTAGCCAGACATTCGTAAGAAGGAGGACTATATGTCCGCATACCTGTTATGTGTGTCCATTTACTACACAGCACTGTTTGCAGTGGCGTTGCGAGCATCGCATTTGGACTGAACAGGATTGGGGTTGCGTACTATTCTCAGATGAGTATAGGTTTAGTCTGTCATCGGATTATAGGCGCCAATTAATCTGGTGTAAAGGTGGTACTGCTTATCGTCTAGGAAATATATTATATCCGAGATTCAGTGTCATGGTGGTACTTTTCCATTTATCACCATGGATTCCAACGCGCCATATCACCGAACACTCGCTGTTCAGGATCATCTAGATAGCGAGATGGCCAGCACGTTTCCGAGAACTAAACCCATTAAAATTGATTGAGCTACTCTGGAAAAGTAACTTGCTGATCGAAAATATCTTCCATCGAACAAGAACACACTCGTACATATACTGACATAGGAGTGAGATTAATTGCCTCAACAGCTGCTGGATAATATTCAAAACATGAAACGACGTATGAAAAGTTGAGTCGCATGTTGGACGTATCATGTAAAGACACTTCTCTCAAAAGTGCCTGTTCGCGCTCATTTACATTTCTCTGTTTTCCGTCTACATCATCAAAAGCACACTTTTTTACTTTTGGATACTTCAAAACATTCTGAATTTTTCTGAACAATTATTTGCCGTTATTCTTATGCCCAGACAGTGTGGCAACAATATGTTATTATACTTAGCCTCCAATTCTGCTTAATGTTATGCCACACTGCAATTTGAGATCCGAGCTGTCCAGCAGTGTAGCTTGAAACTCAACTATTTGATTTTATTGTTATTGTTGTTGCTGTTATCATCAGTGATATCTTTCTTTGGAGGTGAAGAGCGGACTTTTTATCCTCTTGTTGTTATTATTACTATTACTTTCATAATCCCTCATATGTTTCATTCATTATAATTTCCATAATTTCTCCTCCTTTTCGCATTCCTCACCAGAACGCAAATTAGCTTTGGATGTATTTAAGCTGACACTTTTGAATCTTTAATGAAAGCTTCTGGCAACCAAGTCTTCTTGAAGTATTTAACGAACTGCTTAAACGTTACATCCCTGCCTTGGTATTTCTCTCGCCGATGTTTTAAATTACGCCCCGGTAAAATATCCTGAGCAAGGTTATTTTAGACTGTTGAAAGTGTAATCTTAGATTACGTTATCAAAGTTTGAAATTAATTGTGTGTTATATTAATTTAAATATCCACAAATCAAGAAAGGTTCCTCTATAGCACAAGTTGAGTCTTTGTATTCAATTTAAGATTAAATAAAATATTTATTTAAACTTTTAAGTTTGTACTCTGAAATCCGCTTTTGCTTAGAGAAGGAAAATGAAAGATATTTGAGATAAGTAATGCATAGAAACGTAAGCAAAAGTAAAGAAACTTCCGTCAAAAGGCCAGTAAGAGTAAAACAGAATTATAAGCTGAAAAATTAATATTCGAGGGGAGAAATTACAGAAATGATGCTTATGGTGCAATTCACTTTTTGATAACTGATACTGAACTAATTTTCGACATTAGCATTCTTAATTTACTTACTAGAGCTTATTGGTTGCTTGAATATTTATTTCTCCTTTCAGTGTTAAGTCCAGATATACTTCTATTGATTCGTAGGTCATTTGTTCACGAGCCAGTTCAAAATACACAATAACTTGATACTGGAACACTGGAAAAAGAAACTTTCATGTGTACAGAAATAAACTGCTAAGCTATTGAAAACTTTTAATTACTTTTAAAGCACTAAATTTCAATATGAATGTATGAGTTTCTCAATAATATAAGAAATTCGTGTAAGTTTTACAGTAGCCTGAAAACTTTTACAAAACACACCAAACCACTACATGATGAAATAACTAAAAAGTAACAGATATAACAGTAACATGAGTATATTTGCAAAATCATAAATTTCTGAAAGTTAAAAAAAATAACTTTCTTAGCTACGGGAGTGAAAACGAAGGAAATATAGTATGTTCCTCAAAATAAAAGTTCAAAAATATTCTACCTAAATGATAGGAAACGAAACCCTAGGTCCTCCTTTTGGCCAAAAGGTGTACAGAATTTGGTGTTCTTTAATAGCATAAAAGAACTTCCTAACAGGTTTAGAACGAATTATCGTTGTGTCTGAAAAAACTGTAAAGTTTTAAGATTTAAAACAAATCTGTTATTACATCAGAACTTGAATATAACTCACTTCTCGTGATTGACAAGATCAACCACCACTTGTGGCAAGATAATTAAAGCAACAGTCAAATTCAAACTAAATCTAGCAATCAAGGACTATACAATTAATTTAATGCGAAGTTGGCTCAAAACTTCCCACTGACGTAACAATTTAAATGTCGGCTGCAATAAAGCAAAGTTAGGGAATCCTAGTAACGTTACCTTCAGAGATGTAAACGCAACTCAAACTAAATTTGCATTCTTAAAGCGAAACGAAAAAACATCAGACAGTCATAAAGTAATTGGCTATGTAAAATAATAGTAGATCTAAAGTTGAATGAAAATCGCTAAAAACCAAATTATTGAAAAGCTGGCGTTAAAGAGAGTTAAACATTAGAATCACTAAAAAAACCAAGCAAATTTTATGCGCGTGAAGCTCTCAAAGAATTTTAGTTCAGAAATTAAAAACTTTTTGAACTACACTTTTGGCTGCAGAGAAACAGTAAATATGATTTTTTTTACCAATAGGGATAGGCAATAGAGGATTTATAATTTTATTAAAGTAGGAAAGGAAACCATTTCATCTGCTTAGAGTCTGCAAGCGACATCGTTCCTTATGATTTCGTTTGAATATTTTAAAACTTTTCTTTACTGATCTCTCGTAGCACAGTTTTACTCTTGCAACTGAAGTAGAATTTTTTATTTAAATTTCTAAACAATACTACTTAAAGTTTATTGTCGTTATTATCTCTACATAGAATCCTAATACTCGTCATTAGTTGCTTACGCATAAAAACTATTTTACTGCTCGCTTGGAAATATGTTTTTAGGTATAGTAATAACGTCAGTAACGTATAGTTATAACGTAATGAAATCTACACTCATGTCCATAAATTAAGGATAATTCGAAGTCACGCGGAAATTGAACTCTAAAATAAATATATCACTTGTAAAATCACTACACACATCTTCAAGAATCATATACAAATTTCAGGAGTAACCAGATGACACCGTGGTACGTCACACTGACGAGAGTGTAAGAGAGTGATATAAAGGAATACAGTCAAAGAGTAAAATTGTTCGAGGCGCTTTATAGCATTTAAGTGCATTAACCGAATAGTTATGACACAAAGGACGCATTGGATGATTTTTTACGTGGTAGAATTATCGGCCGTCTGGAATGTGGACGTACCCAACTGGAAGTTTCAAACGAACTTGGAATTGCCCAGAGTGTCATCTCCAGGCTTGGCAACGATTCAAGATGATGGTAATGTGAGTAGACGTTACAGCACAGGTCGGCCAGAGTTACACACGCCGAATGAGGACCGGTATTTGGCAGTTACTGCCAAAAGAAACAGGCGGAGCACAGCCTCAGACCTGTCTCATCAGCTCTCTTCAGCCACTGGTACGACAATTTCAAGGCAGACCGTGTACAGACACTTAGGGCAAATTGGTCTATATGCTCGTAGACCTGTCAGATGCGTTCCACTTACTGCAACTCACTGTCGCCTGCGGTTAGCCTGGAGTAGGGAGCATGCATTGTGGACACCGCAACAGTGGGCTTGTGTGATGTTTTCCGACGCGTCCAGGATTAGCTTTCAGTCTGATTCTCGCCGAACTTTCATATGGAGAGCTTCAGGTACCCGTTACCACCAAGAAAACATCATTGAACGACACCGTTACGGTGGTGCAGGAGTGCTCGTTTGGGGTGGAATTATTCTGGGTTCCAGACATGACCTGCATGTTCAAATTGTAACCATGACAAGCCAAATCTATCGGAGCGTCATTCTGGAACAACATGTACATTTGTTTCGGGGCACCATGGGCGCACAATTTGTGTTTATAGATGACAACGCCCGTCCTCCCCGTGCAAACATCGTAACCGAATGCCTTCAATCGGAAGATATCACCCATATGGACTGGCCAGCATTCTCACCGGACTCTAATCCAGTAGAGCACGTGTGGGACAGGCTTGGCCGACGAGTTGCAGCCCGTCAACCTCCTCCTACATGTCTACCGGAACTTCAGAGAGCATTGCTTTTTGAGTGGTGTAATATCCCCCCAGATCAGATCGATAATTTGATACTCAGCATGCCTAGGCGTTGTACGGACTGTATTGCATCGTCTGGGAGACATACAATGTATTAACAATCATACCAACCGTATAATATTGGTTTTTTCTAAATAGGTGTTTTTTGTAATTTGCTCCAGGGAGGAAAAAATCGCTAATTTTTTTAATAATATCAAACATATAGCATCTGTTTTTGCTCTTTACCTTTTGTTTAATAAATAAGCTTTACAAATAAGTCAAATTTGTTTTGCTTCTAACTCTTCCTTTACCTTATTTTGCATTATCCTTAATTTATGGACATGAGTGTAGTATAGAAGTATAGGTCTCTGTATAGAAGAAATAAATTTATTGTAAAATGCCTATCAAGTAAAGGCACCGTAGGACTTATCGTAAACGATGCGAGAGAACAAAATCACTAAGAAACATATCATTCATTATTTCAATAACTTTAGATATGTAAATGCATTGTGAAACATATTGTCACTTAAAAATGGTATACATGAGGGATTCGGAACCAGAGGGGACTTTCATTGTTTCAGGGGGAAAAGCGATCAGCGAATTATTTAACTGATAAATATTTAGGTTTTAATTTATGAAAATAAAAAAGAATTAATTTTATTAGTGCATTAAAAAAACTTGCCGAATTTTTGCTCCTGATGTAGAGCGACTTGTATCTGTTTGCACTCAAAATCGATAGAGTGTTGACCAAAATCTACGCCAAACACAAAGTTGTTGCTTTGCTTAATTTTAGATTTTACCTTCATCATAACAGATTACGTAAGAGATGTCTTACATGATATGATTGCAGTTATTAATTCACGAGTTCAAAATATAAAGGAGTACATGTATCCTCTTGAATTGAATTTGGAAGAAATTTTGCGGCAATGAAATATTCCGTTCTATTTAAAACAAAAATGCAAAATAGATGTTTTCCCTTAAATTAAAATTTCAATAACAAATTTATTTCAGACAGTTAAATATTAATATAATGTACTTTGATATCAATATAATTAAAAAGCTTCTGCTCAACTTGAATATAGTTTCTCTGTTACCGGCCAGCATTCAGTAGAACAACTGAGTATTTTATAGAATGCGGAAAACTGGCTGGCATTGTATGAAATGATTAATATTTCATGCATTTCATTGGCATTCTAAATAACGGCAAAACACAAACCAGCAAAGTATGAAATACGTCTCTCCCATTCGTTACGAATATCTATGCAGTTAATACATTCATACATAATCCATACATTTAATGGATTAAATTGTCATAAATCCAAACAATTCATGCATTTTCTATATTGTTTTCTTTAATCAGAAAGGTATAAATTTTATTTTATACAACTTTCATTTTTCTTTGCATATTTTAATAAAAGGTTTCAAATTGCACTCTTTCTTTATTTTTTCAAAATAGCATTTGTATTTTTGAGGAATGAATGCTTTTTAAATGTAATACCTTATCAAGATATTTTTTCTTATTTTGCCTAAATAGTTTTTTGCATTCTATAAAAAGGTCTAGCATTATACACAAAGTCAAAGGAAAGTGAACAAAAATTCTCCCATTTCATACATTGCCAAAAGACTCCCAGTATTCTATAAAATGCCTAGCTGTTCTACAGAATGCCGGAGTTTCATTCATTATCGGTAATATATCTGTTTAATATTTAATATAGGATAAGCTTTCTCTCCATTGAAATTTGGAGCGATGGTGCTGCCGAAGATGTTGAAAACTTCGAAGCTGACTGTGGAACTGAGGTTATAGCAGCAGTTGATTCGATTTGTAAAAGTTTGCATACATGTAAAAAAAAATAAAAGTAACATCAAAAGGGACATCTTATTTAGGAAAACGGAATCATATCTTTGAAACGCATGAAAATAAACTTACAACAATAATAAGGTCTTTCAATTCCAACCTGCAGATAATATCTAGATTTCTGTGGGGCTGGAGTACTGAACTGGCCCATGAAACGACATCTTTCGCCATTTTTTCCGCAGTTGCATTCTCCTTTCAGAAATGCTTCATAACTGAAGCATTCCACTCCGACCATCAGACATCCATTCTGGCCAAATGAAAATAGCATAAGCTCAATAGACCTTCTATGCTGGCAACTGAATAAATCAGATACAACTGTAAGAAACATGAAGAAAAATATAGGTACACAGAAGCTACGTATAAAAGTTTCGGATTTCTCCTCCATCCATATCAGTTACTGTGAATTTTACAATTTGAAAATTTATGGAATTTTAACGAACGTTAGTCAATTGACGCCATTCTGCCAGATATATATGCTCATTTAAAGTCTATTTCACATTTCGAAAATTTGGAATATTTTAATTGCTAACATTATATTGAAATTATGAATAACTTTCGCTTTATATAAATTTTCGAATTAGCAATCTTAGGTAAATACATCGAATATAGTGAAACGCTGAAACTAAGACGTTTACTTTCTGTGTTAGGAAAGCAGAGAACTTACGAACGAGTTAGGAAGTGCAACACCAATGAACACGAAAATGACAGTAAAGTAACTGTCTTTCTAATTTGCAGATTTTAGCATGCATAGTGTCATGTATACAATGCATAGTGTCATTTATACAGAGGGTGTCTACACACTTTTAGAACGATTTTGATAAATAATTAAAAACAATATTTGGAAATTAGCATTTTTTGGCAACAGCTTCTTACATGAAATGAGAAATATCGTCTGCTACTATCAAATTTATTCTTTTGTCAAGATGTAGAATATAAACACGCTGTGGATTTAATGATAGGGTTTTGCGTTTCACGAGACATTCCTTTCTCATAACTGAAATCCGCTTAAAAATGCATGGCATTAAGATTTTTAAGTGTAAAAAGAGCAACATTATTAATCGGAAAGGGAAAAACCAACAATCATTACTTCTACAAAGCAAAAAGACTCCAAATGAATACCCGAAAAAGGTACGTAATGTTTCTAATGTCTTTTAAGTTGCAGTTTAGGTAAGTAGAGAAACTCCATCGAGAAAAATATCACAAAATCTTTAAATAAATTTGTAGCAACAATAAATAAAATAATAAGCTAAAAACCACGATGTTCATCGGGTTTGAAAAGGTATGTGGCTCAACGTAGAACAACTTGTAAAACCTTGTATGAAAACTATTTAGCAAGAGATAAATGGAAATCCATTGTAACTCAACAATCACTACCGCCAGAAAGGTCTATTTATTAGCAAAAACGAAGAGAAATGCTGTACACAGCTACTTCCGCCAATGCGCAGAAGATTTTGGGAAGGAGTTTATTATTGTATAAGAGAGTGTAGAATATGCTCGAATTGTAGCCTACGTGGATGATTTTATACTAGTTGTGGCGGGAAGGAGAACCTCGAAATGTAATTTCAGTACTGTATCCATCTATTCGCCCAATGGGCTGGAGCCCATAAGCTTTAGAGTTTGGCACACAAAACTAAAGCTTTAGTCATAGGACGCAGCAGATAGCTTAGACGCAACCCAATAGAGAAACACACAAGACACTTCGTAAGCAGAAAACACGGTGAATAATACTTTGTTTGAAATTATCAGAATTTAAAGCAGATAATCAAGATAATCTGCTTTAAATCGCCGAGGTAACATACCGATTCAAAAGTTAAAAAATCAATAATCTAATTATAATTGCTTGAAAACTAGCACTGTCTAATATTAAAAATCAGGTTAATTTACCTTTTAATTTATTCAAAACCAAATTTGTAACTTTAAAAGCAGTCCGTTTAACACAAATGCGAAGTTAAATATGAAATTTTACACCAAAATAATAATTAAATTCAAAAATGTGCCACGTTGAGGTTCAAGCAGTTCCCAACAGGAGCACAGGAGGAACGAATGAGAATGGCGAACAATAGACCCAGATTTCGAAATATCGAACACATCAGCAGTACATAATACAATGAGTTGGAACTTAAATAAAAGAAGTATGTGAAATCCCATGTTTTGAAATTTTCTCAAGTGTGAGAATACCTACCACGTCTGGGTATCTTAACGAAGAATCTGCATAAAATACATTTCAAATAATTTATGCACTGGAAAATGAAATGGTAATACAAAAATTCAAATATAAACTGAATTCCCTGAAAAAGAACAATCAAGGGGATATACAATACCAAAAACCTAGCTCTCAGAGGGAAAACCTATGTGCTATAGAGGAAGGAGAAATTTATGCTAATTCTTTTAAAATTTTTAGAACCTAGAGTAAAAAATGCTAGAGGAAAAATGAAAGGAATGTTATATATATATATAATATTATATATATATGTATATTACCTTAGCATCATCATCATCATCATAAGGGCACAGCCCCAATCCTCCTAGCCGGCACAAGCCGGCCATATAACGGAAAACTGGGATATATGCGTGTGTGTAACAATGTAGATGTTGATGACGAATAGATTATGTAAATCCGGAGTCACCATTTGTTAGCCGTTGTGCCTATTTAACAAATTTGACTCATTTCTTGAGAAGCACAATCTTAATATGAATTACATATCGCAGGAGCCCATTCTTGATCATAATTTTGTGTATTCTGCGTATTATGACAATGCGATTGAAGAAAGAGAGAGGTAAGCGGTGACAGGTTGTCACGATCACAAGCAAAAGCAGGAATGCGACGTGTCTAAGCTGGAAATAAAGTTTGGAGTGATTTAATTATGCTTCTGAATTTTTCTATTGGCTGTTAAAAATTTCATTTCCTAAGTTTGAAATCATTATTGGCTGAAATGTCTGTGTAAATGTCTCCGTCGTAAGCATTGTGTCCGTCATAAGCAATCTCTTATAACATGAATTAATTATGAAATGCAGTTAACAGACATTTATTAAAACCAGTTACTATTTTTAGGACAGAAAAAAGGAAATAGCCGAACTGAAAGAGAAAGCTAAGAAATTATTGCAAATTAAAATTAAAATTTTACTTTACATATTTATTACCTTTCATATAATAGTTTCCTTAACTTTTCCCGAAATTTTTGAATACAGTTATGGTTAAAATTTAATCTGATAATCATGCTTTCAAATCTTGCTATAGAGAAACTAATGCAAATTTGTTGTTGAATAGATTAAGACAAAATATGAAACGATTATTTATTTAAGCAGTGACACACCTTCCAGAAGACCATTCTAAGAGAAACTAGTTTTCAGTCACACTGCATGTGGGGAAAAAAACAAAAAAGGCCTATACAATCAGCCCATTTAACCGAACCAAAATATGTCGAACTGACAATGTTTAATGATCTTGTCTACAGATGCGCAAAACTGCACGTTTATAGAATCGGAGCAGAGCCGTTCACTGACTGAAATGAATCGCTTCTTTTTATTACCCTCCACTCATAATAATATCTTTGTTTAAAGAGATCCGGAACAAAGAGCGAGTAACGATGATGGAGGAAACAGTAGAACGAATCGAACGAGCAGTGGAATCAGGACTGGTTAGTGAGTCTGGAGCAAACCGTGAGATCAGTAAAATCTACTGAATCAAACGTAAACTCCTTGAACTGATTTCTTTCAATTGTAGTTTCGAGATTCTCTGAAACCTCTTTTGTACGCAGAACTAACAATAAAATTCTAAAATACAAATTTTTCAAAAAATTGGGAAATGATAAAAATTAAAAACTAACTTTTAACATAAAAAGATAAACAGAGTTTTCTTCCCTAAAATGGAAATCCATTTGTCTTGGAAAGCTTACAACAACAACAGTGAACTCTAAAAGAGCTCCGCTCTTCTTTCGTGAATCAGAGTTCATTCCCTTAGTAAAATGAATTAGTTCGTGAATAGAAGATCTCCGTTCCTGGCAGGCTACTAATAAGAACTTTCTGTACTGTAAAATAGCCATCACTCAGTTTTCTGAAATCTGGAATCGGGATACATTCGTTCAGTAGAGTGAATCGGTTCTTTGAATCAGTTTCGGAACTAATTGCCTAACTTTAGTCTTATCCTCTCGGCCGCTGATATTGCAGGAATATCGAATTATTCAGATGTTTGATCAATTTTATAAATATGTTAAAATGAATTTGTATTTTAAATTTATTGTACTATACTTTATTGTATAAGAACCTTATTATTAAGAACTTTATTACCAACAGTTTTCCAAAAACTAACTCCAATCATATCGTCAAGTTCCTCATATTTTATTCAAGAACTTTAATATACTATAAAACCATTATCTAAGACATTTCAACTATACGTATCTCTAACGGGCTTTTCAGGTCTTTATTATTTATTATTTGTGCATTTCTCTTACAAGTTATTTAAAATCTATCACTCAAGTTACTTATAATGTATTATTTGTGTATTTCAAACACAACATATGTATAATGCATTCGCAAAACACCATATTTGGTTACGAATTGTTATGTTTTCGTTAAAACTTGTTCATACGAACACTATTTGATTTATTATCAATTATTATCAGTTTATTATATTATTAATTATTTTATGCTAAATAATTTTTCGCAAAATTTTAGTGTAAGCAATATTAGTATCAAATATTCTAAGCATTATAAATCTACTGGATATATATCCAAAGTATGTAAGTGCAATGGCACCGACTGTGAACATTTCTTGTAATCTCTTTCCTAAATTCTAATAAATAGTTGAAATGCAATCGGACTATACCCATTTACTCACAGGAAACACTGGGTGTCCCTTTGCACTATGTATATGTACAATACATGCTCGTCAGTATTACTCGTCAGTACGTCAGTAAAGCAGAATGAATTTTAACTGATTTGCATATCGAAGTTTCACTCTCGTAGCATTCACTACTAGAACTCCATATTTAAATGTTACAAACTTCTTGCTAGTAACAATAGTATATTAATGTTTTCCAACTTATGTATTTATATCAGTTTCTATAATCAGAAATTTCTGATTATTACATTATTTTGACTCTATTTCTATCTGCAGTTTACAAAATTCATAAACTGAATAAAGACAGAAAGTCAAAACTTTGAGAAATACCTGATGGTTTCATTGCTAGCTGCTAACAGAAAGACATACTTACACTCTGTGACACGAGAAAACGTGAAAATACGTCTTAACAAAGTAAGGGCGCAACCCCTTGGTCTGCCTCCAGCTGGCCAGAAATTTATTTGGCCTAAGTCTTCGGGATTTCCCAAACCTGCACAGAAAGAATTTGACCATTTTAAGTAATCACAATTAATAATAATTTGAAAATTTATAAGTAAAGAAAAATTAAAGAAATACGATTAAACAATTTTTATTCAACAAGCTTTTATTTAAAATGGATATGATAATTAATGCGTAAATTATAATGCGTAAATAAAATGGATATGATAATTAATTTATCATACTGTTTAATGGGAATAGCAGATTAATTCTATTTACGAACTATTTATTATTTATTACTATTTAATACTACAGAATAAATCTATAATTTTATATCTCGAATATGAAAAGCGTAGGAAGCCTGAATAAAGAAATTTATTAATTTAATTTCATTGTCAAATGTATAAGCCACTATCTTTTTTATTTACCATGGGTGCCCCATTTTTTCTATTACACACTAATAGAAAAAAAAACTGCAGATGAATTACGTAAATAAAATTATTTAATCTATTATTAAATATATACTAAATGATAAATTAGTATTCTCTTAATGGTACGTTAATTATCACATCCACTATAAATTAATGCTCGTTATATTTTTTAAAAGAATTTTTATTTTTAATTGTATTTTCTGTTTCTTAATTTCAATTACATGATATCAATGAGTAGACCTTTGGCCATTACTAAAACACAAGCAATAAATTATAAGAAAATTTAAAATAAAACAAATAACTAATCGTCATTCAGATAATGGACAAATCGCTTTGAATATTTAGTTTCAGAAATTGGATGTAATAACAGTGTTACTTAACAAGAATTTTCCTTAAATCTGAAAAGAGAAAATTCATTCCTCATTATGTATTCTAATCTGGCAAACTTCATTATTAAATTCGCCAAGATTGCAACCTCAAAACGCTTTTTCCCGGTCTGTTTCAGACTGCTATACATGTTTTTAAAAAATGTGAAAAATCTCTCAATTAATATTCTTTCATTCTTGTTGTTTTAAAAGAGTAAACAAAGTTTGTTTTATATTCCGAGAAAATTTCAAAACTTCATATTCAATGTATTTTTAGATGTTGAAATTTGAAAGACATAAACATTGAATAGTCTAAGAAAAAAAGATTTTCAAAAATTCTCTTAAAATTCAGAAATTAATTTACAGTTAAAAGTTATCAGTTTCATTGAAATGATTTTTTTCAGCTTTAATTTGTTCGGTAAAAGAAAATACGTGCACAAAATCATATAAAAAGAAATAGAAAGGTACAGACATAAAACTCGTACGCGTTAATAATAATAATAGAGAGTGATTGTTGTATAAGAGCTGTTGGGCTGGCACGAAAGTAATAGACAGCGTTATTCTTTGTTTTTCTTTTGAGATTTAACAGCTACGAAAATAAATTCCGTGTATTTTTGTTCACAACTGTAAGTTTATGTTTAACTTTGAAATGGGGTGCAAAAACAAACATTTTCAATATATTTTATATTTTAAAATAAAAAACTCTAAATAGAATTTTTAAAAACTAGCTTCACCACATTCTTTTGTCATCAACAAGCTATTGTGTATACAAGATTTGAACTCGATGACTTATTAGGAATAAAAATCGATGACAAAATTTCATTCACGAAGCGAGTGAAAGGCTTCGTGTTAAATAAGTATAGTTACAAAAGAAGATACATATGTATTTTTTTTAATAATTAGGTTTCTACAATAAAAAGAAAGATTAAAGTGTTCCTATAAATTCTACTGCTATTGACCTTAATAAAGGCACATTTAACATAATGAAAGGAAATTATACCATCGACAATTATTCTCCCCGGATTCGTATGAATTACGTCAACAAATAATGCGTCTGAAGAATCAAGGACAGCAACATTGGGACGATCTTCATAACCGGGGCCGGCAGGATCAAGACCTTACAAAATAAAATGAAGAAGAAAAATTTTATAATTTTTTACATAAAAACATATGCATTTTTTATGCCTCGAAGAAAGGTTTAATCAATAAGACGAAGATGTCATCAGCCATCGAAAATTTTGTCCCATTAAGGAAAGTTTTTTTTTCCTCCCTGAAAACCTAGAAAAGTTTATAATTTGCTTGTTTTTAGTTTAAATAAAACAAAGTCATTTAAGGATTAATTAAACATGTGAGGACTCTTTAAAATAAATCACAGTCTGAAAATTTAATATTTAGGTATTAAAGAATTTGAACAATAAAGTGTAACCAACAAAAATGTCTTGCAGGTATCAACATAAGATTTCAGACAGAAAATAAATATAAATTTTAATTTCTTTTATTTGCAGTATTATTCCTTAAGTATATTTCATTACACATATACATATGTGTTATTTATTATGTACATGTTAAAGTACATATAGTTAGCATAACTGAAAGCTTATTTAAAACGCTTTTTTATTCCGTGAATAAGATTTTTTTTTTAACTCTGGCCCATCAAATGTTTACGTATCATGCATTTGGCCCGCATGAAACTTGAATTTGAGATTACTGCTACATAAGATTTAAAACAAAAGGGGGAAAATAACAATTCAGTTGTTATAATAAATGTAACATTTGTACTAAACATATACAACCGATCAAATATAAGCAATTAAAAGATTAAAAGCGCAAAAACTGCTTCTTTTTTTAGCAGAATAACTAATATTTATTAATCATGGAAGGAATGCTTCTGAATACATAGATGAGTAAACAGGAAAATAGATAATTAGGAGGACAGATAGAAAGGTACAGGCATAAAAATCGTATGCGCTAAAAATAAAAATCGAGAGTGACTGTTGTATGAGACTATTGGGTTGGCAATAAAATGATAGACAGCGTTATTCTTCAGTCAATCTCATATTTGTGTTTTCTTTTGAGAGTTAACAACTACAGAAACAAATTCCGCGTATTTTTGTTCACAACTGTAAGTTTATGGTCAGTTTTAAAATGGGGTGCAAAAAAAATTTTCAACAAATTTTACTTTTTTATTTTCATAAAGCGAAAAAAATGCTGAGGCTCACAAAGAGGATGTGAAGCTTATGGTGCTGATTTAGAAATTTATAGTCTATTTTGGTAAGGCACCGGTAGTCGTGTATGCAGATCACGCCTCCATGGGACGATTATATTTTGACAAAAATGTATCGCCACGATTGATAAGATGGGCATTAAGTTGCAAGAACTAATAATTAAACACACGCCGAATAAGGAGAACATCATAGCAAATGCCTTATCCCCAATAAAATTAGACGAAGAAGGTAAAGAAATAAAATGTTCCATTTAAACCTCAAAAATATTAGATTCCCGTCAAATAATTATTGCAGAACTAGAAACCGATCCAAAGTATAGGCATATTTATGTATGATTACAAGACCCGAAAAAATTTGAACATCCGGATATAGTGGCCATAAGAAATAGAGCAGAAAATTACGAAATAATAGACAAACTCTTACTTTATACTTGTTTAATATTTTTGTATTTGTTCTGCGACGCTAACACATGACATGATGCACCTACTTCAGGGATTACATGACGCACCTATTTCCGGTCACCTAGGCATTCGGAAAACGATGCAAAGAGTTCGCGAGGCGTTTTTTCCCGCAACTTCAAAGAGTGGTAACGGATTATGTCAAGTCCTGCCATACATGCCAATTAGTTAACGTTTTAAATTACAACTCAGCCAGGTATGTAAATAGCATAAGAGCTATTTTTTCAAATGAAATAATTGAGCCCGTACGTAAATGGGCATATTTGTCGTTCAGTTTTATACTTAAAAGGAGATAGAGCAGGCAATATCACTGCCAATGTGGATCAAGTCAAGAACTACTATGATCGTAATGATATGCCTATTTTTAAAGATATTTTACAGGACGCACCAAACACAGGTGTAGGAACTTCAACTTCGAAAAGGGTTTTGCCAGGAACAAAAAGGAAAGAACCCAGAGTGGTGGAGCCGAACGGAAAGAAACGTCGACATGATGAGACAAGACGTATTAACAAACGAAAACTGAACCAGCGCAAGAGAGGAACAAGTCACTGAGAAAGGGAAGGCAAAACAAGACCCTGTACAAGATCTACCAACCGGCAAAACATGGTAAAAAAGGAGATTAAGACATCAGAAGTCACAAATTCAGCCGCCAAGAAAGGAGGTCAAGGAAAAGAAGCCAACCTAAGTTCCACAAAGAAAACGCCGAATAGAAGAGGAATATTTCAAAAGTAAGAAGCTACTCAGAAACAAGGAGCTCCGACGACTGACCACCCAAGAGTTACCCGGCCAGATCAAGGGTTTCCTTCGGCCACAGCTCACAAGCGTCCAGCTGATGTGGCTCAGCGCCAAACGATGGTGGCATGTGAAAGGAGAAGAGGTGCGAAACGCAAGCAGCTGGCTAAGGGGACCAATTGGAAGAGCCAGACACGGCAGAAAATCAGAGTCCAACAAATGAACCAAGTCCCGTCTTGGAAAGATTTTCTAAAGAAAGGTATTTCGGAATTAGCCTAACAAAAGAAAAGTCAGCAATTATTCTATTAGTTTATTTTAAAGCTAGTACAAAGTTGGTTGAAGCTAAGAAAAATTAGTAACATCTCTGCTAATATCAAAATAAAACTACCGGAGTTGCTTCAAAAGTAGGGCTCACTGATGTTCTTGATTTCAAAACACTTAAGTTCAACACCACTTCATTTTTCAACAATATATGCTATGAGGTGTGATAAGTCCTATTTAAAATAATCTTGGGGAATAACCTAGTAAACAATCGTTGAAATTATATAATACATCTCGTGTCGTTGCCAAGCTGTCGTGTCGTTGCCAAGCTAGGAATTGCCCATGCATTAATTAGAATTATAACATACTAAATGATCCTATAAATTTCTAATGTAAAGCACCGATAAATGTAAATTTAATAGTCATTGTAACTAGACTTAATGTAATTTAATTTGATAGTTTAATTTAAGTCGTTGTAACAATATCAACTAGAGCTTCTCCTCTAACTTTAATGCAAAATGCCACATCAGCAACATCGGTTACTGACGAAGCAAATACTAAATCAGCACCCATATCAATAAGTTCGCTGTATTTGGTTTGAAATTGAATCATGGAAACCTTAACTGGATAGTATTTGATATTTTCCCTGGCTGAATAGAAATGTTCCATTGTCTGCTGCGAACTTTTGAAGGAGTCATCAAAGGAAAAAGCAGTTCTACAGTAGTGTGAATCTTCTTCATAAACAATAAGTTTCCAACAGCCTGTATGAACAAAAATAAGACAGGCTTGCACGACAAGAAAAGTGGAAGTATAAAGAAATGAAAAGGCGGCTAAAACTTTAAAATGAATAAATTAGAGAAAAATTAATAATTAGAATCGAATGGATCTTAATGTTGATTTGTAGCTTGTATGTTATTTATGTTCCAACAGCATGCAATAACTAGCTTTCCTGGCACACAACAACAATTGATAATTTTACCTTCCCATTCTTTGAAAATCAACTTACACCTGATTTTCATGTCCCATTATGAAAGCTGTTTTACAGGATGGCCAAAATAAAACTGTCCGGAAGTGTTTTTCGGAATTTTATGAAAATGTACTCAAACAACAAAAAGGTCTTTAGAAATTGCAACAGACATTATTTAGTAATCCGTGGAATTCAACACAAAATAATGCTAACAAAGAAACAATACGTTTTTATTGTTCAGTGTTATGCGAAGCTCAGTTTGTAAAAATCGTGTATTAAACTGTTTCCTCCAGATTTTAAGAATGGAATTTTCTCAGCAAAACCTGTAGTAAAATATGCAATGAAAGCAAAATTTAGTAAACAAAAGCCATGAAACGGACTCTGCAGTGAAGGGTAATTTTTTTCTCCATTGACAAAGGTAAAATTAGTATCAAAATTGCATACTTTTCCCGGGCCAGTTTTATTTTCGCTTCCTTATCTCCATTAAGCATAGCTCATTCTCATAGGCTATTACTTGTTCTAGTACTTCTGCTGAGGTATTTGACTCTCAGTTTTATAAATATTTTTAATGACGCTGTATGTGCTCATAATGTTATACTCACAAGCCTGAAGGTTTACCTGTGATTCGTCCAAGTTTAGGTATCCTTTGACCAACATAACCAGCTATATGTGCTGCTAAACTGTGTCCAATAACATGAAATTTTTCCGCTGGGTATCTGTAAGCTTTCTACAAAACATTTAAAAAAAATAATTATATTTGTTTTCAGAATAAAGCACAACAAAATGTTTTAAAGAGTTTTTAAGTCATAAAAATTCAGTGACAAATGATTCGCTTGTAAATAATACTAATGCAACTATTTTAATACGAGTACATGAAAAAATATACATAATATGCATACAAACCATCTATATATAGGAACATAAATTAAAATAAGTAAGCAAAAATATTATTGTCAAAAACCTCTGTTTTGAGACTTTTTTATGGTACATTATCCAAACATCTTTTTTTAATTTTTTAAAATTTAAACATCAATTAATCGATTAGTAATGAAGATACATACATTTTCTGTTCTAACTTGGAAATAAAGGTTTTTGTATTAAGTTGTCTTTTTGTGCAGTATCTTAGTTTGAATTGACAAGCCATAATAACAAACACTTCCTATATATTATTGGAAATGTTTATCCAATAACCGAAAATATGACTTCCAATCCAATAACCGAAAATATAGCTTCCAATCCAATAATCGAAAATATAGCTTCCAATCCAATAACCGAAAATATAAGTTCCAATCCAAGAACCGAAAATATAACTAGTATATTAGAACATTATTAAGTTTCATTGTCAAAGCACTCTTCACTTTCTTTTAAGCAATTAATTTCACTTTCGGTTCCGAATACTAAAATTCCGTCAAATAATAAAAACATTTCGAAATACTTGTTTAGGCATATCTTATCTTCTACTTAAGTGAATAAATGAAATCGTCTTACGGTGATTATATCTGTACAGAGACTATAATTTGAATTTAAAATTCAGTATATGAACACAAAATCTGAAACCTTATCCAATGCATGAGCATATGTTTCTTTTCACAGCATCGAAAAGATGGTTATTTTTCACCAGCTATTTCTAAAATATACTCGAGCTCAATAAATAAGCTACAAACGCTAAATAGGGAAGTTACGAATGTGAAAAGGGGAATCAAAACATACAATGTATATATGAGGTTGCATTGTCGAATCCAAATAAACAACCAAAATTATCATAAAGCAAAATCTCGCAGTCACACCACAACGCCTTAAAAAGAGGCATGTCGGACTTACGCTTTCTTTCACATGCAGCAATAATTTCGTGTAATCCGAGATAGCCATAGTGGAAAGCAGAGGCCAATAACACCTTCTACATGACGAAATTCGTTGGAGGGCGTTCGGAATGTTGCAAGCTGGTGCAAGACAGTCTGGTCTTGCGAGACAGCTGAATGTGCAATGTAGTGTCATCAGTAAACTGTGGAATCGTTACTAAAGGGGTCAAAAGCCCTGTAGAAGACATGAGGTTTGGATGCTGGAAGACTACCATAACGGCAAACGATTTTTCCTGTCGTTCTATGCAAGACAATGTCGACAGCTGGCGTCTCATCTCTCTGCTGCTGCAGGACGGCCCAAACTGTGTCGCGTCGATTGCATGAAGATGGACTGTACATCCGACGACCTGTGGTTTGTGATACTTTTTGTCACAAGGTGTTTGAATAGGGCCTGTGACATCGCAGTTGGAACCAGAGCAATGGGGCCGCGTACTCTTTGCGGATGAGTCTCGATTTAACATCCAGAAGTGCAATGATATGGCGAGAGCCAGAGACACTCTGTCAGGCGCTAAACATCATCGAAAGAGAACATTGTAGATGAGAAGGCTTACTTGGATGGAATTACCGAACGGCCGTACCGACCTCTGCGTGAGTCCATCGCAGCAGTACGATATCGCGATAAATTCTACTCCCTCATGTGAGTCCTTTTATCCTGAAATGAGTAGCGATGCGATATTTACCAACAATAACGCTCACCCGCATAGATCTCTTTTGGTGCGGAGTTATCTGGAGAGTGCAAGCATTCCTGGAGTGGCCTGCTAAGCCACTGGACACGAGTATGTGTAAGATTTCGGATATCAGGTTGTAAGAAGGAAGAATAGTAAGTCGCAGTGTGCCGCCAGGCACCTTCCATGAGCTCCGACATGGACAGGAATGACATGGACACATGCTACAGGAATGAGCACTACTGCCACAAAAAGCGATCAACCGACCGTATTGTCAGTTTCCTTTTCATCATAAAGCATGCATTTCAGCTAGAGGATATCATACCTGTTATTAGCGTGATATTTCCTTTGCACCTTCTTCCGATCTATTTGGTCTTTCGCGATGTGATGATCGTAATATATGTGTTTTCCTTTGTCTTTCCTTTATTGATTGCTAGGTGGTCTAGTAATGCCACTCCAACCTCTTGGATGAATTTCACCGCAATATCCATTAAATTGTTTTTGTTTTGCCTTCGTTGCTTATTTTTTTAGCAGGAGTGTAATTCATTTTATGCTACGTCAACTTTTGTATCATCCCGTCCACGTAAGCATGATTTTTCTTTTCAATAATTTAATCGTTAAGATTTATAAGAATACTTCTATTACAGCTAATAATTTGGAAGACTCTTTGCTTATTTCCATTTTACAAGCATGTTTAAAAATAAAAGACTTCTCATTATAATATATGGAATTTTAACCTTATGAGTTTTATTATATTTCATCATTTTTCTTAGATCCTTTTTAAAAGAGTTCATACCGCAAACAAACAATATAATAGCACAGCGCAAGCTATCTAGAGAAAGCACTAGGAACAAAAACTGCTGATAAAACTGATTGGTCCTTAAGAAAGGTCAAATGCGAAGTTACGCTAGAATTAATAACTTAACTATTGTAGTATAAAAAATGCAATATGAAAGCCATAAACTATACCTGATTTGAAAATTTTTCTAAATGAATTATGAAAGAGCTGAATCCAGACATCACAGTATATGCGAATATATAAAATTACACAAAACCCTACTTCAGTTGCTTTCATTTTCTTTCGTTTCAGTTCTGAACTACTTTAATATTTCTAAGGAAAAATTGAGAAACAAAAGCTATTTGAACTGGTATTTTACGAGATAGAATTTTTTTTCGAAACATGTTTTTAGGAAACCAATGCTTGAGTAATTATCTTCGTATTCGCTGTGAAAAGCAACAGCGTTCTTCATATATTTTGTCAAATAAACGACATTGCAGGAAACAGTGAATGTGTTCTATATTTGGATTGACTGTTTTCTTTAAAGTCACTAATCCTTTGTCTGATCCTGCCATAGATACTAGTCCATCGGTACAAATGCCGACATATTGATCTCATAAAAATTTTAACATATTCAAATACGATGTTATAGAGTCAAATAAGTTCCAGCACCAAACGTTCTTTGCAGGACAAAATTTTATTTGTTTATTTTCATGAATAAATCGTACAAAGCCTATGAGATGAACTTTGCCTGTTATATCAGTTGATTCGTGTACTTGTAATGCAAAGGGTTAATAAGTTTATCTGGGACTGCTGTTTAAGTGTTGCAGAACATGTCACGCATTTTTCTTGTGATCAGACATCTTCAAACTCAACCGGAATCTTCAAAATGTCCTTCTTTGCGTCTTCTCCAAACATACGAGTAATTGTCACTATTTCACTGACAGTAGGTAAAGATGAGAGTCTCTGCTAGTGAGCGTGGTTTTATTTTTAACACTGTTGACTCAGTAATTTTAAACAACGCAAGTTGTGTTTTATCACTTTCTTACTTTTATATTTTTTCTTTTAAAATTATCTTCTTTGTTTATCTTGCGCTTCTTAAACCCCTTTGAAGTACTTCATTTTTTTTATGTTCACTTGAAAAATGACTAGCGGACATTATCGTGCTATTGGCAAGTTTCTTTCATGATATAACGCAGACAACATCTGTATTTCCGGCCCAGGTAAATCTGAATTTTAAATATATTTCGAAGTATAAGCTGGTTACTGCTGAGTTCTATTTCGAGATTTCACAATTTTCATCCCTTCTCCACTGTCTGCAATTTTACCAAAGATTAGCAGAATTCCCATCATTAACATCAAGACGAGTTTCTGTATAATAAAATTATCCCTTACGTGTAATAAAAAATATTTATGAAAAACATTAAGTTAATATATAATATGATCCAAGGCTTAAGTAAATTTATTTAAGTTAAAAAATCGAATCGATACCATTACTGAAAAGCTGCGAAATAAACTACTCAGAATTCAAACGTGAATTTCACAGGTAAGCCAATGTATAACACTATAAAAAGGAATATTAACTGGCTAACTGGCAGAAAGAAGGTTCTGTTTATTTGGTGGAAAGGAAATGTGCGGCACTGTTAATTCCAAGTTCAAATTTGAATTTAGCCCATTTAATTTTTTTCATACAATCCCAGGGTCGGCGCAAGGCTTTTCACTGCCCGATGCAAATTCTGCAACTTCTAAATTCTACTGCTTGGTTTCTTTTCAAATGCTAGAAGTTTTGTCACTCCTAAATTCCGCCGCCCGGTTGCATCGGCTCCGTTGTCGTCCCTGCACTCTCTTTCTCTTTAACAAACCGTTTCTTTACTGAGCCTTTTCAATTTTTTTTTTTTTTTTTTTTTTTTTAATGTTACCTATGTTCAACACTTTTATTCCGCGATCAATGTACAGCCTCCCCACTCGGACACCAGGGAACGGACCATCACTTGACAGCCTTTGTGACGTAACTCGCTTGGTAGCTTAGTTTTTGTATATCAATCGGTCTACCGTAAGGTCATTTTTCGTCGCAGTTAGGTCTGCGTTAAGTTTTCGTGATACCACACATATAACGATAATTAATTGATTGATAATTAACTGTTTAATTTTCATTCGTTTTTGTTGATTATAGTTCCATACAAAGGTTATTCTATATTATACTGGTTTTTCTTTTTCAATAATTTTTATCTGTGCATCTGATATTTTTTCTGTAAAACTTTAAGAGGCTTCACGGAACGCCACAGTGCCGCAGGCCACGAGTTGAGAATCACGGTTATAAAACGCAAAATTTGTAGATCTTTAAACAGCATTGCTTGTTCTAGTAATTAAAAAAACATTTTTTCTGTTAAAAGTGCCAGTGTTTAAATTTGCTTGTTTATACACTATACTTAAGAAAAAATTACTTATATGTTTCTTTTTTAGCTTTCCCAATTTAAAAAATTAAAATTAAAATTATATTTTTTCTATTGAAAAGTGGTTGAGTATAACTGTGTTTAAATTTACTTCTTCAGAAATACTTCAGAAAAATTTTATTATCTGCTCTTTAAAAAACATTCGCCTTCTACTTTTGTTGTTGCTATAAACATGTCACGTGTTTAACACGCTTACTGGGTAAATTCCCTATTAAAGAGGTAAAGCAGATTCCCTGGAAAAGGAATCGGTGTTTTTCCAAAACGATTTAAGAAACTGTGATAAAATAAAGATCAGCTTGGTTTGCAAAACATTTGTTACTATTCCTCTTCTGCATGAGCATACTGAATATGAAAAGAATTCCTCATTATGTGTGTATGTACGTATTTTCATCATAATATTTTCCCAGTCATCCCGGATATTTTTATCAAGGAGACTAGGAACAAATTAAAATGGAGTAATTCTCATACAATAAATCTCAAGGACTGGTTTTTGAGAGTTTTGTAAATAAATTTAATAGAAACTTAATAAATTACACTCCCTTAAATAAATTTATGAAACATTTCATCGCATGTTTACTATACTGGAATTTACAGTTATACTCGCCTGTATAAACTGTAAAAGTAAAGAGACTTGTGCTCCTTGTCCTCGTGTATTCGCAACGGCTTGACTGTAAGATGGACATATACCGAAATCTGCTATGATGATATTATCATCCATCGAGGAAAGGTACAGATCTTTGAGTTCCTAAAAAGGTAGAAATGCTCTAATGCGAGAATAAAGTTTTAAAATGAAATATATGCCCAATTTTTTAAAAGTATACTTTTAACACGAAAACGAAACTTATTTTAGCATCATAATAAAATATATAGGAATAAATAATAGCATTTATCAGGTTTACTCACAACGTTCTTTCTTTTTAATATTTTTCATCGGTAAGAATCTCATTTAATATTTCACATAACATAAGATTTAATTTGTAGGATTTAATTATAATTTTAAAAAAATTATATAGGGCGTCTCAAAACGATTGCACAATTAAATACCGCTTGAATGGTTGTCGTAGGCCAGTGATTCCAATTTAAGAAATAAATCAAAATATTAAATTTCAGACGAATATGGACAATTTATGAAATACATTAATCAGTATGGGTTTCATGGAATGTGATCTTTGTATATGTGGCGAGATACGCAACCCCGACTCTTATGCACTTGATTTCTCATTTACCCCCAACTAACATCTCCGGAAGCCAACAGCTGAGAGTTGCCCTGCATGGGCAAGCTAATCTGCAGAAACAGACGTGAATTACCGTATATATTAAGACCTATACTTCTCATGATCTCTTTATTACAAGAGTCAAGACTGATTAGTTAATACCGCCAATCACACTGTAATGCATTTTAACTACTAAAGCATCATCTTCATCTCCATCTAGCCATTGTATATATTCATGTACATTTTTACTAACTTAATTTTGCATATTTTTTCCTTTATGTGTAATATTTTAATATTTTTAGTAAGTTAATCTAGATATATGTCCTTGTATCTACTGTTGGTCTTATCATATATACTCAACTTACGCTGTAATACTGTAATAGCAGTGTCCCCATCTTGCACTTTTCCTCCTTGTACTTGTCTTCTTTCAGTATTTCCCAATCAAGTTCCGGAGGACATTGCACTAAGCTCTAGTTTTGCTTAGAATTTTTGTTCCCCGTCCAACAGGGGATCCAACAGGCTGATGGAGTGGACCTAGTGGACCAACTGTTCTATCAATGGAGAAAAGAAAGAATGTTCCAGGCTACAAGATGTTTTGGCCCACCCAAATTCTTGCACTTTTAAATCTATTATTTAATTAAATATATAGTATTTAAACATTTTAAAAAGCGTTCTCCAAAACACATTCCACTTAATTTATTCAGTTATTTTTAACCTGCTAGGCAATATTTTGAAAAAGCGCAGCTCCATAATGTGCAAACTTCCCGTGAAAAATTCGTCCAAAATATAAAAACATTTTTACTCAATCAGAAGAAACGATTTCCCCCCGATGTTTAGCTGATGAAAAAAATTCTACATATCGATTTTAAGAGTTCTATAAAAAATAACTTTTGGCAGATCCAAAATTTCAAATTTGCTTCTAAAGGGAACTACTCAATGTTTTGGATGTAAAACACACTTTTCATAAACTTGCATTCGGTATCTTAACGAACTTTATTGCCTAAAGATAATACTCGTATCCGATCGCAAGTATATTAGTTTATGGTTCAGGAGATAATTTTTGGAACTGGTGGTCTCTTGTTTAATTATGAAATATATACGAGTTCAGTTAAGCGAACTTAGCTTGTTATTCACATCCGTATATTTTCATTAAAAAGTATCAAAAGATCACATGATTACAATTACCGCAAGCTTACAATGTACCTTATTTGACTGGTATTTTAAACTGATAGTAAATTTCATTTATGTTACCATTCAGTTATTCAACAGTTATTTAAAGGGGCAATCTTTTGAAACATTGTGTATATACATATGTATATTTGAGAACGAAAATTGTAGTAAATTTCTCTTATATAACTAATCATAGACTCTCAGCTCAACAGAACACAAACAAACACATTTTGGTGCTTGTTCAAAATCACGCACAAAAAGAACAAACCTACAAATGCCAGAAATTCCTCTTATTATGTTTTTACAATATGCGAAAATTATGAACCATTGCATTTATTTAATAGTAGCTGATCAGAAGATCCCCGTAAAAGTAAAACTACAATAAACTAAAGGAACTGAATTGAGTAATTCAGAATTTTTTCACAAATTACCTGCTAATAGCACAAATTTTGTTTTTCAAAATCTGAATCTTTAGATTCCATTGTATGGTAATTAATTATGATAAAGCGTTCCATTCAGTGGCTATCTTCTTAAAGAGAGATGCATTTTAAGAGAAACTGATTAAAATCAGCATTACACATACGCTTACCATAATATTTTTTGCTCAACGCGGGACAACTTTGAGAAAATACCCAGAACAGAACATAAAATTTACTAGGATAAGAAACTATGATTGAAAAGGCTTCATAAGAAGTTATTACTAATAAGAGACAATAATAACTTATAAGAAACTTTTAATAATTCAACTGAACATAGCTTATCATTAAGAAGTTATTAGTATTTATAACTATTGTGAACTTTCTTTAAATTTCTTTGGTATTTTTAAATATCAGTTATTAAAAATCATGTATCAAAAATTCATTACAGTTTAATTCACTGTTGATTTTGGGTCCACCAACAGTAAAATCGCTGAACACTTGTAGTTCTGACATGGATTCGAAACTTGTAGTTCGAAACTTGTTGTAGAAACTTGTAGAACCCTTGTAGTTCTGACATGGCTGGCTGTATGGGCGTTTTCGTGGTTTTCCCCATGTGTGATGTGCATACGAACCAGTTTCTTAGAACGTCATCCACGAAGGCATCCCTCTTCTGAAGCAGATAGCCCTAGTGGGCTTTGACATAATCAACTAAACTTAAAAACCACTGTTGAATTTAGTAAAGCAGTCACTCTTTTTAATGACTGAAAAGTCGTATCCACAGCTGCTGAATGTATGCTTTTCACAACTTTTATTTTTCCAAATTTCATAATTAGCAATCACAGTTTCATCCATTTCATTTCAGTTGATCCGTGTTTATTATATCATTTGAGAAAGTTTCATTTTTTTCACCAGAAGCTTCAATTTCGGGCCACGTTTAATTCACTGCCGTTTATCCAAATGAAAGATTCTCTTCCACCACAACTCTTTTTTCATAGCTCAGTGCAATAAGGACTTCTGTCAGAGTATGCTTAAATGCTTGTATCATTGTAGTGATATTAATAGTATCATTATTTTCTACTATTAATAAAATATTTTGCTGCGTCATGAGGCATAAATTTTATCAAGTCTTCTACAAGGCATTCTACGTTTTGCATATTTCAAGAGATTTGTAAAGTCGGAACACCACCGTGAGCTACTGAAATTCTGAAAACACTGTTGATATTTAAAGTAAGTAAGATTACAAGCATTTGTCAGAAACGGAGAACTCTCTTTTAGGATACCTGGGTTAAAAGAAGTTTACATTCATCAGACTACATGTTTTAAATTTGAAGAAAATTATCTGGACAACATTAAAATAACTTGGCTATCCCAATAATAAAACTAAAGAAACCACAAACTTCGCCCAGAATCCTAGAGATCAATTAGTCTGTTATATTTCTCAAGCAAGATCATTGAAACTGTGATACTAAATAGAATTGATTCTTTAAGGACGAAAATAATATTCTCATCCCTAATTAACTTGGTATGCGACACCAGTTTCCTACGACGCAATAGCTATACAGAGTTTTGGAGTAATCTCAAGTGGAATACCAAACAAGGAAATCAATGGAAGACTCTTTCTAGACATAGCCAAAGTATTTGATCGTGTCTGGCTGGACTCACTTATATACAAGATACGCAATTTGGGTTTCGAAAATTGCATCACAAACTAATCGGTAGACACTTTTTCATTTGCATTTCTAGTACACATACCACACGCCACCATCCGAGCCGGTATTCCGCAAGAGTTTTCCTCCGACCGACGCTATTTAATATTCATTTTATGCGAACGACATTCCACAGACTCCAAGTACTGCACTAGCATTGTGCGTTGACGATACAGCAATTCTTGCACAGAATGCATTTCCGATGCCAGTCATACAACATTAACAAAATCATACATACGCATTTCAGGCCTGGTTATTCAAGCGGAAAATACAGTTAAGTACTGAAACATAAGTAGTAAGCAAGCCCCTTATTTACGTGTGATCCTAACTAATACTCTGACATGGACACCACACATTATATAAGTTACTCAGAAGCTTTCAGCGCGTAAAGCTTTACTCTCTCCCCTAATTGCTCTAAACAGCGTTCTATCTATAGACAACAAGCTACTCTTTTATAAAGATATCTTACGTCTCATATTGTGATATGCTTGCACGTTCTGTCGTAATGTCGCACTAATCGATAGCAATTACAGACCGTGCAAAGCATTGTTCTTCGACAAATATGCAATGCAGCTTGGTATATTCGTAACAATAAAATACATGGAGAATTAACTTAGAAACATATACTAGTATAGCTTAGTGTAGCTTTAAAGTATATACTAATATAAGCTGACTAAAATTTCCTTGACAAACCCTTTTTTATTAATAATGAATGTATTAGCAGTCATGATTATGATAGATATGATGTTCGCAATGTAAAACACCTGAAAGTGATCATTAATGTAAATATGGCCTAACGGCTGCAATTATTAGCTATCTTGCTTGCTTTTATGTGTACTGTGAAAATGTAAACTAGCGAAACTTCTACTTTTTGCACTCAGTGACTCACCGTAACAGACGTTTTTTCAACTGACACTATTCGAAAGAGCAAATTATTTGACAGGAATATTGCCTCGAATACAAACATCCTGGCGACTGCATTATTGCATTCTGACTATTTAAAAATTATTTAGACTTAAATTCAAAATACTTAGATTGGCAGGAGTGAGAGTTAACAAAAGGGATATTTTAATTGCTAAATGGTCGTCTTATCCGAGGCTTCACTATTTTTCTTTGCTATATATTCTGCCCTTTTAAGATTTTACCAAATTACCTGTATAAAGTGACAAACCCGGGTATCATCATCAAACTGGGACAACACTCACTGTGCCCATTTTATGTCTAGTGATTTTATTTATTTTGTGATTTATTTTATATCTCGTACATGCATAGGAAAACCAAGAAACATTAATACAACTAACCTATTCAGCCAACCGTAATCTCATCATTATGAAGAACCTACAACACTTAAGTTATTTTGTCTTCGAATTTTAAATCGAATTCGAAGAATTAAGTTTTATTGGCTATTACTGGAATACAGCAAAGCATGTGACAATTATCCGCATAAGTAAAAGTTTGCACATACAGAAATCTAAGAAAATACTTATGCAATCAGTTCGTCCATTAAGAGTGGAACTTCAAGTGTTCGATGATTATATGTGCGTAATCATTAATGAACCACGAAAGATTAATGAATATAAGTGGAAAGAAAAGCGAAGAATGAGTTTTCAGTTCATATGTATTACTAAACACAATAGCAGATTAAATATGCATTACTTACTTGCAGCCATCTGGTCAAATAGCTTCCATCTAACCAACCAGCCATTATTATCCTAGTCTGCAAACTGGCATTGAAAGAAGAACTAAGAAGTGCTTCTAAGTTATAAGGTGTGAACACATAAGGTTCATTCATGTTTTTTCTGCTGTAGAACATGTACGTAGTGAGATACAGCACTGGAGGAAGAGGAACTAAACTGATGGGATATATACGAGTAGGATAGTAAAATGGTGGTCCATTATAAAAGCAGCCTAGTTTGCCGTAACAGACAGTTTTAAAGGGAGGTACTAGATAAAGGAAAAAACATATTACTACAACATATGTGATGAAACTAATTTCAAATTATGAATGATGTATATTTATTATTGAACGCCATACTATGTTGCGATCCCTTTTACTCCAATTTCAATAACTTCCAGTGTATTGCGTCGTAAATTTTGTGTTATTTTAATTTCCTTTTAAATTATTCAAATAGAAATATTTTAATCTGTTGCCAAGAAATATCATACTTTAAAATTAAGGATTTTATAAAATTTTCATATGAAACAAATAAACTGCTAGATTGCGGATATAACTTAAATTACGAAATGGAGACTAAATTACTGAGTAAATATATTGAAAAAGAGTTAAATCAAAATACAATATTTGAGGGTTACATCAAAAATAGAACATGGAAACTGAAAAAATGTCATTTGTAATTGAAGAAATGAAAATTGCCGATACATCTATAACAATGAAACACAAGATTTTTCTGTGCGTGTGCATTAGAATTACGTGTATGTGTGTGTACTGCATAGCACAGGAACCAATAAACTCTGAGCTACAAAATATCGTCCGAACAAGATTGGTGTCCACCTTAAAATACGTTTTTCCAAATTCAGTGTAGATTTTTTTATTTCATTGTAGAAACATTAGGTATTTTTGGAAGCAGGCAAGATGAAAAATTATCAAAGCCTTAGCCGGGAATCGAACCACGGACCTCTCAATTACGCGCTGAGTGTGCAGACCACTACACCACGGAGGCTCACTAAGAAGGCGAGAGAAATACCTTATATCATGTTCAAATGATTTTTTGAGGATTTTTTAACACAAATACCTTAACAAACCAATAATCACATAATTCCATTATTTGCACTATGGAAAAGCGGAGGGAGGAAGAATCAAATGAAGTCTGCTTTTAAATAATATTTTCATCCACAACTTTCAGGTTTCATTTTTTTATTTAATAACGAAGAAGCTGATTTGCATTTCAAAACCAATTTCTTTGTAATACAATGTAATGTCACAGACTTTTTTTTTTCTATGTAAATCGTCTTTGACTTATACAGTAGGGGCATATTTTCTTGACAATTCTATAAGCTTTTCTGTGAGCTAATTCTTACGAAAATAGTTTTCTTTCTTTGCTTATGTATGAAGACAAATACATTTCTAATTAATAAAAAAAAAATTAAAAATATCTGAAAGCTTTCAGATTTTATATTACGCCCAAAGGGGAGGTCTTTCATTTACATACACGTACACGTTTCGAGAGCATTTGGGCTAATGTTTCTTAATATCATATTTCTTTTGTGATGGACGAACCAGGCTACGTTACGTGACTCACAATTCTTCGAAATTTGGCATTACAGTGGAGTGCCATTTTTCATCATTATTTTAATTTGTTCCAAAAATAGCTTCTTTCTCGAACGAGAAAGCAAAGCATAGCTGCTTTCTCGTTTCTCATCTGTCGTTGGTTTTCAAAGAACTGACACAGAGCTTACTCATCCAGCTTTGTGATGTCTTACCAGAATGCCTCACGCTGGAATAGTCATTGGCACAGCTGGGCAATGGAATGTAAACTGCAAATGTCGTTCAGAGAGCTCTGCATCTAAACTATTCAAAACTCTGGACTTAAATACTTTTCAACCTAATTTGAATCCTGATGAGGACTGTAAAAAGGAGAAATTATAGCAAAGGTTTAACAATGTAATTTTTAATCAATATAAAATCATACAATGAAAGAAAAAGTTACATTATGGAGTTGATTGATGCCAGAACATGATTTGGAAATATGTTCTCGGTTCCCTCTATTTAAATGTCGATCATTAGCAAACGTTTTCTTTGATAATATCAATCTATTTCATTTAATTCTAGTAGTTTATTCCACGAAAACTGTTAATAATCATTGCTTTTTTAAGACTAATCCTAGAGCCATAATGATTTAATTTAATATTGACTAATTTAATTGCATAAAGAATTGTAAATTATCACGATAAGGTCTCATGCAGTTCTTTTGGGGAAAATTAGAAGGCTTTTTTTTAACTCAGCATTTCACAATCTAGGTTCACGGACTAGAATGATCATGGAAGCCGCCCATAGTCATCCTCCTTGATTTCCAAACAATACAAAAAATAAAATTTAAATTAATTCCGTACACGCTCAGAGTCTCAGAGTCATTTTTAAACTTTCAGAGCTCACAAATTACAGATGGAAATTATTTAACACTTATCCCCAGAAGATATTTTATAAAATTTATTAGCAGTTACCCTATACAGACTTCGGACAAACTTCCAACACTAGTCTTAGCACCAAAAGAGAGATTTAAAATACTAGTCTTAATGTATGGTATATTATGTTATATTATGTATGTATATTATGTTATATTATGTCTTAATGTATGGTATATTAGTCTTAATGTATAAGTATATTAAGCACCATACTTAACTGTATGGTGCTTTTTAACGGTATACACCCAAACATAGAACAGTAATGCAAGGAATCAACAGTTGTCTATCTCCTTAACGTGATTACCATCATTCATTTACATTTTGGTTAATAATAACAAGATTATCGGAACTTGAATTATTGAAAACGAGTATAAATTTTCTTCTATTGACTTAATATCTATATAACGTTAAACTAATTTTAATTAATTCATTTCGAAAACACAAGTATACTGATAGTAATATATGACAAAAAATTGCTTTGGGGGGGATGACAAGAGCATGGTGATCGGCAGAACATTCTACATTTTAAATGTTTCCACTTGGAAAAAGCTTAATAAACTATGTTTTAAACTGATTATTGTAGGTTGCACATTCTGCTACGTCTCATAGCATATGAAATTTTAACTGTTTGGTATAATCATAAGTACAGAATCATGGGGCATTAATCCATGCTATTTGGGTTAATTTTGCTTCAGAGGTTTTTCTATGTGGGGTAGCTCAGTTATTCGAGCTTGGATTTAGATCTTGTCTCTATGTGTACTGAGTATTTAAATAATCATTTAGCATTTGTCTTTAGCGTTCAATTAATTTATTTTAATCATTTTATTTTCCTGATCCATTTATTAATAAGCCTTCTTTTAGCATCAAACAAATACTCTCTAGGAAGCATTAGATGTTGGATGATTTATAAAATCACTTTTAAAAAAATTACGAGAAAAATCTGAATGCAACGAAAAACAAATAAGTATTAAAGTTATTTATTTAGCCTTAACGATATAAGAATAGAATTTAAAATGCCTTTATTTTATCATACCAAATAAATGCAAAGTTTCATATTAATGAAAAACTTCATCATAACACTTTTTGATACATTTCTTCTCCTTAATGGAATATTTTATTTTAAAACTAGTGGAAGTGTCCGGCATAGCCCATTATTTGACATAGCTCATTATTATAGAGTGAAGAGACTTCATTTAAGGAGATGGAGAAGCTTTTTTCGAAATTCTGTTTTTGAAGTATTAGCTGAAAGCTGATAGAGAGTGCACTAAATTCTGCTGTAATGGTTTTACACTGCTCTGGAAAGTTTTACATTGTTTAAGAGAAAACTACCAAGGCGTTATATAACGAATCTAGTAAGAACTGCTACATACTTTGTTGTTGATTATATCTTTTTCCGGAAAATCACCATCCACTTTGGCCAATTTCTTCAGCTTTTTTGAAATATTCGCAAGAAATTGATAGAGAGCGTACTTAAATTCTGCTTACGAATAACAAATTTAAAATATATTTGAATCTGGACAGTGGAAACACATTTCTGTTATATCCGTGAATTTGTTTACTAAATTCGAAAGGCAAATAAATATATTGTGCTTTATAAGGAAATATATTGTTCAGACAACATATATGAATGAGATTTCTGGTTAAATTTGAAACATAAATAAGTTCCACTTTGCAGAGTAGCAACCGCTTTGCAGAATTTCAAAATCGCCGACTTTTAAATCAAAAATTCGTTAAATTAGAGTAAAATATATGTATATAAAGAGTGCGAATTCCAAGGAGCGGCTTTTAAGAAATTTTATGCTGGCAGTGACTTTCCTCTTGTTGTGACCTTGAAGTTAAAGTTTCATCCAGACCGGAATAAAACTAAATAACTATGAGAGATAAAAACACGGACACTGTTCTTTATTTATATAGATAGTCATCATTTCTGAGAAAGACAATAATCTGAGAAATAAAATTTATATGAAAATAGTTTTCTCTTTTCGTAGATAAAACTGTATTATTCTACAAATGAAAGAGTAGCATTTTTTCGGAATGTGAACAGCCGTTTCAAATGCTGCTGATCAAATACATCATTTCAAGTTCTTTTAACGAAAATAATACATCTAATAATATTTATGAAATCATTCGCTTGCTTTATTGAATACACAAAGAAAACACATTAGTCGGTATCCGTGAAAAAAACGATTTTGCGCATTTACAGCAATAAATATTACAGAAAAAGAAGGTGTATAGACTACGGTAAAAAAATACTAATGACTATTTATAAAAGATGTTATATAATACAATAAGTATAACATTATTGAGTCCTAATAATAATTGCCAATATATGCGTTCAATTCATTGATTCGTTATTTTTAATCTCATCTCAAAATATGGCATTTCATTTTCTTAATTACATTATCTTTTTTTAAAATCAGAAAACGTTAAAAGCTTTACACATTACATTTTAAAAGCATGCACTTACCAATGTTTCTTTTATTTCTCACATGGAACGTTACATTACTTCCCAACATGTAAGAAAGCAAGCACGAGAAGAAAATAAAATGATAAACGCCAGTCAAATCCATGTTTGTGAATTACTTCTTGTGAGATATATTTAAATTTAAACTTTGCAGAGTTAGCAGAATCATATTTCCTCATAAATGGATAATTTTTCTTGCATAATTACTTCTTCCTCAAGTCACAGTATTGATAAAAGTATTACCATATAATGCAGTCGAATACAATCTACTTTAAATGACCAGATTAATATAATTTTTTTCAAGAGGGAAAAAAATGAGTTTTTCTTTTACCTTGATTACCTGTAAGCAGTATATAATTTCGGTTCCAGCTTAATTTTTAGATCATTTTATTTTCCTGAACTGCAGTTGCACCTGAACTGCAGTTGTTGCGTCATGTAATGCCTCGCGTAGTTAATCCTATGTAAAGTGTTTTTTTTTTAAAACGCTGAGGAATAAAGGTTCTAGCCTGGGGCTTTCTGGTAGTAAAATACATAAATGTTTTGAATGGGAATGTCATGAATGTTTGAGTAGCTCGAAGAATTCACTTTTGAAGTGTAATTTTCGCAAAACCTTCTTTCAGGTTCCAAAGATCTATCCATATCCCTGAGCAATGATATTTCACGTAATACACGCTTCACTTACATTATAAACTCGGGAAACTTTCACTTATCTAAAACTTTAAAATTAGCATTGTAGCTTAGTAATTCACTTTCATAAAAGAGGAATTAATATACTAACTTTTAGTCTTTCTTCAGTTGGTAGTATTCTTAACTGCGCAAACAGTAATTCTGCACTTCGGTAGTTCGGCTCTTAATTATTACTATTTTTTTATTATTTTCGTGGATATTATTATAGTAGTAACATTCATCTACTTCTTACACCTGATATTGGGCATAATAGTTCTCAAGAAAAGTTATTATAATTTACAAAATAACACACTAATTATTTTATATTAAACGCATTAGTTTCTTTCTGGTTCCCTCTAAGCTGATGTTGAAAACGGAAGGAAACTTTCGAAAAGTTATTTAAATTCAAGTAGCTTGTAGTACTTTACGACGCGCCAATTGGAAGATACTGTAATAACAAAATTGTGAACAAGATTAATTTATTGAAACTAGAATTTATCATTTCTGTGCATTCTCAATTTTTAACTTTATTAGCGTGTCTCATTTATTTAAAGTTGTGAAAAACACGAAACCTTTTAGTGTAACTAAATAGTGTTTTTGTGAATCTAAATTAAGTAAAGTTATACAAACCGTTTCCGAGAGATTTTATGATTAAATTTTTCTTATGGTATTAGACACGCATTCGCAGTCCCATTATTCTAGTTTATGGAAAACATATAATAAAGTAGGCGTTAGACAACGATAAATTTGGCAAAATTAGAAGGTATTTTCTTCTAGCTTCCCGCATGCCTTCCTGATGTAATTGGAAAGCACGTCCGGTTGGCATCGATAGGTCCGGAATTCGAGGCCGGTTGGTGCTCTGGACATTTTTCACGGTTTCTCTCCGAATTAGAATACTAATTTCACAGGCGGTGCCTGAAATAAAATGGTCTATGTCTCCCCAGTCTAGAGCCAGATTTAAACTTGATAAAGCCTTCTGTCTGGTCTCTAAATCTGGCCCCTAGTCTGAGCCAGATTTAGATTATATGGTACCCTTTTTAACTCTGTTATAATATATTTTAATACCGTTTATAGTATATTTTAATTTGGGAGGCCCTAAGCTATAGCTTGTGTAGTTTATACGTAAATCCGACCCTGCCACAGGCGCCCTTTTTCCTCCTTACTGCGTGTCTCCTTCGTGTAAATGGAAAGCACAGTCGGCTAGCATCCGAAGCCCCGGATTCGAATCCCAGCAAGAGTATTTCGCATTTTTCACATCTCCTGCACAGAAATTAAATTCTAATATTCCTACAACGGGACATCTTTTAGAGAAAACAAATGAAAAAGAAATTTTACTATGCGATTCTCTACTAGGAACATTTTAATTAATAATTCATTACTCTATATCCTATTGAAAATCTTTCAGGAAAAAAGTTTATTGTGATGTTCAAAATGAATTAAAATTTTGTCATTTAAACCCCAGTCAGCCGAAGAAATCAAAAATAAACACATTGGTTTTAGGGGTTTTAGGAACTTAATTTAAGTAACTGTAAAGCTTTGAATTTTAGCATTTCTAAAACATTAAATTTGAAATTTTTGTTACTACAATGACATTTTTCTTCCCTAATGATATATTTTAGAAATTTTTTATCAAAAACATAACAAACCTAACTATCATTAGAAATATATTTATACACAACTTCCTAGAAAGATATATCATTCAGTCTTTAATACGAGTATATTTCATGAATATTTTAACTCATATGATCACAGTTACATTTCATTGCGCAAATATGACTGTTTTTGACTAATTTGGCTATAAAGATCATTATTTTTATTAGAATTTTTTTTCCAGCGGGAGTCTCTGTAAAAATTAAAAGGTTCACGTGATGAAATTTTGGTAGATAGGAAACTGGTTACACAAGCATGTTTTTATAGACATAATGGAAATTTCCGTTTTTCCGATTATTTGTTCCTGTATCGCTATCTGCTGACAAGGCATTCCTGCTTGTTGGCAAACGACAAATAGCGATCTTTATAAAAAAATCTGATGTGTACACCACATGACTTCCTTGTACGGAATATTACATTACACGCATTTTCTCTTGCATTTCGTTCGAATTTATGGGATTTAATTAAATCTACTTCGCCAACAGCGCATAAACCACAATAGAATAAATGCATTCTTTAAAATTCACTCTATTTGTTTACCATAGCGACACTCTGGCGCTAGGTTCACTTGACAGTATTATATTTCTTTCATATTATAACACAGTATGCACACAATTTATACCATTTAAAGAATTATCTAATCGTTGGCACATGTTCTATTCAAATACTATAATAAAGCTAGAACTATGTATAAAAGAAATTAAGCAAACAAAACAAAAAAAAAAAGAAACAGTTTTCACAGACGATTGAGTATTTCTCATTCAATTAATTCAGTTCTCACTTCGTGACAAGGCAAAAATACATAAAAACTCAAAATATCTGTATTAAAATTACTAATTATTAAAAATTAAACTACTAACTATTAAAAACTAAATTATAAAAAATTATGTAAATCTTAAACATTTATTTCCACTAATTCCAGAAAGGATTAAGCATGATTTAATTCGCAATAATAAATGAAGACGTTATCTTTGTTGTTGCGAAGCTACGTTTCTCTAGATTGGCAACAAATCCACTACTCTGCTGTTTCAACTGTAAACAAGCAATGGCCGCCATCAAAAAAATTATTAGGCTTAGCGGCACTTAAACAACTCTAAAATTGTTGATAATTCTAAAAATATTGCATACAGATTTACTAAAGGCATAAAAACTTTAACCGGAAGATAAGAACAACATAATTCAATCATTTTTAAAGCAAAAAATGTACAATTTACAAACATATAACAGTAAAGAAACTGAGATCATTGAGCTGAGTAACAGAGTGGATATATATATAAATATATTTATATACGTTTGGTGCGGCCGATTGCAACCGCAATACGAGGTGCACATCTACATGTTATAGCAGTCCTATGTACAAAATTTCAACGTTCTGAGGCTAATCGTTTTTGAGTTATGCGAGATACGTACGTACGAACGTATGTACGTACGTAAACGTACATACGTTCGTACAGACGCCACGAAAAGTTCTCTTCGGAATTCATTTTAAAGCAGTTTTATAATTTTTTGGAGGAAAAGAGTCTTTTATTTTGTCCTTACGTACAGATATCACGCAAAAACATCGTTAAATTGCATTCGAAAGAGGTCAAAATGGGATATTTTCGTTGAAATATGCTGCCTGAAACTTTTCGCAATTACAATACTTCCTTTTTACTTCGTACAAGGAAGTAAAATGGTAATATCTTGTATAACAATAATATCTAAATACAGAAATTCAAATATCAACAACTGAATTAAGGCACATTAGGCATATAACACTCATGCGCTTTATTCAAATAACCTAACCTTATGATTAAAATAGAGGAAGGCCGTACAAATATATTCCAGAACAGCACATTCTCGTTTTCTTAAATGTCATTAATTTAAAAATAAAAATCGCTGAATGTTAAATTTATGAACATGGAAGTTAGTTTTACCATAGGTAAGTACTAGCACACAATTTGAGCAATGATTTTGGAAATGTTTAATCAAAATTTTTACTTAACATTATTCTTATGACGGCCTTATTACGTAAGCGCAATCAGTGCTCCGCCGAAACGGATAATGAATTGTTACAACTAGTCCCCAGCTCTCCTATTTTACATATTTCAAAATGAATTATTTTTAATGCATAATTTAACCAAAAACTCTTTAAAACGTCTTTCATTTAAATATTTTTTATTACTAAAATGTTAAAAAAAGAACAAATGTATATTTGCATTCTTAATTTTTTTTTTTTTTGTTGTTGTTGTTGTTGTTGTTGTTGTTGTTGTTAACCCACTAGTTGCCTAGCGGTAAAGTTAATAAACCCTCGTGGTTGGGCCCGGGGTTCAAATCCGGGCGAAAGGGATGGCTCCATGGGCGCCTTGGGGTTTTCCCCCTGCATAACGTGTATAAGATCAAGTTTCCCTTAAAAAGGCGAAAAAGGCTTCCTTTTCCCTAGGCGGTTAGCCCTCAAGTGCTTTGCCATAATTAAAGTAGCCCGAAGAAAAATTATTTTTTTACTTTAAGTTTATTCCAGAAGTGTCAGAAAACTGATGCCATCACAAACATAATCAAAGATTATATATCCGATTAAAGATTATATCTATTTAGTAAAAATTAAACCAAAATAAATTTCAAAGGGACCTTTTTTGCAATTTTCTTTTTAAATTACGATACATGTCTTAAACGTATGATAGAATTTGACCACAAAAATTTTTCTTTTCATGCTAAAGTTGCAAAAATGTTCGATAATTGTTCCTTCTCAACTATACATGAGTAACCATAG